TTTTAGAGAAAATCATAAATTTCTTACATTGTTTTTCTGTTCAAATGGTAAAATGCTGTTCAGCACTTGCAAAAATTCTATTTTCCAATTGCTGTGACAATGTTTTATCTTTCAATTCAAATCTTTTTCATCATTTACTTATGTATACACAAATTGGTAATAATCAAATTTTTATTCCCTCATGGCAACATCTCATTCTTTTTTACCAAACATATTGCAGTCCTCATCAGACCAAACAGGACAACTGACCACATTAGCTTTGATATGAAGATTTTTTTATTTTAAAATTTAAGCAATTAATCCAAGTCAGTCTGCCTTTAATTTTTGTTTATAACTTTCAATATTTACATTAAAATAACTCAGGTGGCAGACTTGACATCTGTTTCACAAATTATCAAAATCTTAACTAAGCCAACTGTCATACTTCATTACTCTATGGTCCTGATTATTACTAAAACACTTTCATTTAAACACTTATTGAATTATCATAAGTGTTTTGTGACTACTTTTTCTTGGCTAAACATCTGACTTTTGCACAACAAAAAAGGTAGCATTCCATCCTCTCTGGAAGTCAGTCCGTCCATTTTGATAGTAAAAAAAAAAAAAAAAAAAAAAAAAAAAAAAAAAAAAAAAAAATTTTTTTTTAAAGAGCAGCATTCCATCAAGTCATAAAAAAACTCACACACATTAACTTTTAATGTTTCAGATTTTTGAAATGTTTTGAAAGAAACTGAACCCCAAACCTATTTTTACTGATATTCAGTAGTTGTAGGTTACAAAATCAATAGATTAGTGAGTAAAGTTTTTATACCTTTTGCTACTGTTTTAAACAAGGTTTATACTTAAAAGCACTTCATTAGCTAAAACTGCTAATTAATTTTTGTCTTAAATTTCACATTCCCATTAAGTTAATAAATTCCTGGAACATTTCATCTTGGCAAGTTCACAAGTCTGAAATGCTTCCTACCATCATTCACAAAAGAAATGTTAGGTTAACATTTTTGGATTAGCTTTTTTCCAGGTATGTATTTTATAACTTTTCTCTAATTAGTTTATCTTGTGAGTAATGTCTCAATTTTTGGAAAATAAATGGCAAAGTGGAAAAAAAAAATTAATATCATTAATTTTCATAACATTGTTCTGGTATATAAAAATTTATATAACTTTCTCCTATATGTACCTATTACAAAAATATGGTACTTATACACAGTTAATAAAGATTTCAGATCATCCATATTTTCTTAATATATAGTAGTGAAATTTGGTAATATATAGCAAGGCCTTGTAAATGAATTGTTTTCTACTACAGTAGAAAACAATTCATTCACCAAGGATTTTTCAACTTTGACAAATCCATAATTTTAAATATAAATTACCAAATTTTCTAATGCCTTATTTTAGGGAAAGGAACTTAATTCATTATTTAATAATTTGTAAAAATGATTATTTGTAACATTAAGGAAGTCAAAATTATTTTGGAACAGTTGTAAAATGTGTGACATTTGGCCAGCTGGCATGCTGCTACAAAATCATTTTTTTTTTAAATCTAAATTTGTGCTATTAATTGTATTAACCTGTACATACTTTGATGAAAACTGTATTATAGTAATAAGAACTATTACAAAATTACTTTGTGTTGTGTTGTATATTTTTTATTCCAGTCTAATTAATGGTCTTGAGAAAATTTATGCGTTTACTGTCTGGTATGAAAATTTATGAATTTTTTATTTATTTATAGATGTCTGGTATGAAAATTTATGAATTTTTTATTTATTTATAGATGTCTGTATGAAAATAAACTGGTGAATTTAGCAAAATGCATAAAAGTAACTATTTCTTTTGTGTAAAAAGAAAATCATTTATAGCTGGTTGTTGCAAAAGGGAACAACACCTGAAGAAACCACATGTTGCAAGATAATGAGTTTTAAAAAATGAAAATCACATAAATTATTTAAAAATAAAAATGTTTCAAAACAATTCCTAATGCAAATTTTCAAAACTTACTGGTTCTTTAAGTAATCAATTTGATTTTCATAAATGAAAGTCACATTGTGTCAATCTTTAAACATAATGGGTTTATTAGCTGAAAGAGTCAAATAATCCATCATACTGGACTCTTATCTCCTTGTGTATGGATTCAAAAAAAGAATTACTTTTCATGAAACCTGACCTCAAAATGTAGTTATTGTTGTTTGACAAAAGAGAAATGGATTAGCAAGAGCAGGCTATGAAGAAATCACAAGTTTATTTACAAAAAGCACAAAATTAGCAAAAACAGACAGAATTCCTAACAAAAAAGGAATCACTAAAGAAATACAAGAAATTGCAATCAAATAAAATCTTTATTGTTTTTGATCTCTAAATGAGTTACTTTTAAAAATCAAAGGCATAAAATTTTTATTTTGTGGTATTATTTAAAGTTTAGATTCTATTTTCTAGAAATTTTCTCGGGTTTTAAGTATAAATTAAATTTTTTTAGCCATTTTCATTGGGTGGTGTGTATATACAAAATTACAATATGAAGTAAGTAACACTCAAAGGTGTTTGAAAAGTCAACTCATTGAACAGTTGGAATGAGATGGGTGAATACAATTATTGAACTACTATAGTTGATGCGGATCAGAAATTTTTGTTTAAGTGAAATTTATATTTAAAATTAAGATTCACGAAAAATAGATATAGTATCTACGAGTATAGAAGTATTAAAAAGTTGAAGTAAATTATGATCTTATAAAGCATTAAAAATTAATTTAACAGAATTGCTTATAATTTAGCTCATTAATTGAATGAATTAAAATGCTATATTCGCTTGAAATTCAAAGGCTCCAACACCCAAAAAGTGTGAATAACTTAAAGTATTGAATTCATATATCTGGTTAAATCTATTGTATTTCAAAATCTTTCAGAATTGCTCATAAATTGATATATATAAAAAAAAAAAAAAAACATTAACATGTTAATTTTTTTTTTTAAGCAATATCACGTTTGGTATTTCAATAGGTATTGAAGATAGTTCTAATATTTAAATGATTTTATTTGCACAAGGCTGAAACAGTGAAAGAGTTTAATATTAAACTTTTATGGTGAAAGTAATCTGAAAATAATTGTTTTTAACTACAAAAACACTAAAACTAAACCACAAAGCCCCTTTTTTCATGTTGCATTCAAAAAATATATTTTAAAACAAATGAACATTTAGCAATTACAAACAAAATCAGATTTTGTTATAAAATTGTTTTAGTAATGATAAAGAAATGTCAAGGTCTGAAGGTCTTCATTTCAAATGTGATGAATTTTATTTTTTTTGTTTTGATTTTGTAAGAACCTTTTCTTTGGCATATTGAGAAAAACAAACATATATGCCCATGATCTAGTTATTTAGGTTGACTTATTGAAGAGATTAACATCTCTAACTATATAAGCAGGAGGGGAGTGCAATTTCTATCTATCCCACTTTCTGTTCAGGAAAATTATTAGAAATTAAAAGAACTTTTTTGCTGACCTCATTAAATGACTTGTTATTTTCCTTGTCATCACATTGTGCTTTTCAGTCTTTAACATAAAAAGGAAATAATCCGAAAATCATTTTGAACATAGCAACATCAAACTAAAAAAGAAATAAAAAGTTTCAGTAAATATTTAAATATTGACAGCTGAAAATAAGCCTCTTTCCAGTCTGATGAGATGAATCCATAAGGAAGACTAAAATTGCATAGGAGAAAAAAGAAATAAAAAACTTTTCAAACTACTTTTAAAATTTCACTTTTTATTCAAACTTGCTTCAAAAAATTAGACAAGTTAAAAAAAATTTATATTCATGCTTTGCATTTAGATATATTTGACAGCTTAAATATATTTTACTTTTCAGTTCATCAGGCATTCATGTTAAATACAGAAAACTCACTTCATGTGAAACTTATAACAACCCTCCGTAAGATACCAATGCATTGTAATCTTAAAAAGAACAAAAATCAAGTTAAATAAAATCAAAACTCAATTTCAGACTTGGTTGATCCAATCTAAAGTAAAATCAATTCTTTCATAATAGTTGAGAGAACATTTATACTAAATTAAGAAGTAATAAATTAACAGGAAGGAAAAATAAGCTATTTAAATGGAGACATTGCAGAGATTCACTTGGTTCCATTTTAACGTGCTCTTAATTTTATTTGTCAATAAAATTCAATCATGAAATTCAGAAGGCACCATAGGATGCTGTTCTATAACCCTCAGACTAATAATGATAATTATAATAGAAAGTTTATCTTTTACACACCAAATTTGGCATGCTTTAAAAAAAAAAATTTCTTTCTAACACTGAGAGTTACAACAAATCAGCAGCAATTCTCAATGAAGTTTTCTTTTTCCAACTGAAAAACAGCATTTTAGAATGTTATGCAAATGCACTAAATAGCATCTGTATATACACGTTTTTTTATATAAAAAAAAAGGTTACTATATTAAATACATACATTGAGTTATGCACACACATACATTAAATAAAAATTCTAATTATGAAAACTTCATCTTATAATTAAAAAGTTAAGATACAATATGAACAAATAGCTTTCCTATACTCAAATTTTCTTAAAAGAAATTTATTCTACACATACAAAAAGTTTTGAGAGAAAAGGTGGCTGCAGATACTACCTTTTTTTTTTTTTTTTTTTTTTGAAAGATTAAAATTGCTACAAATTTATTTATTTTGTAATAAAATTCAGCATCATTCAAACATTGCAGACAACAAAGAAAAAGAAAATATCAGTTAAAATATTTGGGAAATGAATTTCTGATGAATAAACATTAATGACAATTATTATGGAAACATTCAATATTGAAGTTTAAAAAAAAAAAAAAATTTGGATGTTTGCTGCAACCATTCTTCAGACTTCTAAGAGCAGGCACTTCAAAGAATCTACTATTGTCTTTTTAAAGGAGGGGGAAGCTGCACAAGTATTTCACAAATTGGGCATTTCCTTGTCATGCATTTGTGCAAGAGTTCATGGAAGTGCATTGCTTTCAACACTACCAGTTCCTGTGGTCGTTGATGCATTTCCTCCTCCACTAGTAGTGTAATTTGGATCCTGCTGCTTTTGTTGTAAAAGTCGAATTCGAACCTTCACATCCAAACAAATCATTCTTTCTTCATGTATTTTCTGACATAGTTCTGTATTCTTTTTCTGTAAACAGAAAGAATGTCCTTTAATGCTAAAAAGCATGTGAAATATTTCATTAAAAATAAACAGATGAATGATATGTTGTTTACTATTTTTAACATTAATAAAGTAATATAAATTTACACTTTAATCGATAAATATTTATATACAAGTAAACAATTCCTTCAAAAAGGCCTTCATCAAATCATCTGACATCAAGCTTAGTTTCTCGGCATCAATTGGAGGGCAATGAATTTATATATAAACTTATTGTTTATAAATACTGAAACATTACATATTTTCAGTATTTCTTTGACTCATGCATTGTTTCTTGTGCAAGATGCACCAATAAACTGATTTAGATACAAATTGTTTACTTGTTATAGTCACTGAGGAATCTTGCTAACTAGTTTATTGTCAACTGAGAAAAATGTTCATATGGAGAATAAAACCTTGACTGATGATTTCCAAGTTTCACTTCTCATAAGAATTGCTAAAGTTGTAAACATTTTCAGATACATAATTCACAGCTAATGTTGTTATTTAGCAAATTCAACTGATAGTAAAATAACCAAACTTTCTCATATTAAACAAGTTAACAAAATTATCATTTCCTGAACTGAGGATGTGGTATTTAGAAATATCTTTACTCGCTTTAATCTTGATACTTGCCTCAAGAAGTTCATTGTCTCTAATAAGTTGGTTCAAAATTTCTTGCAGTTCATCTTCATCCTCACTTTCATAGCTGCTTTCAGAACTTGAACTCATATCATCCAAATCAGAATCTTGTCGTAAATATTGTAATTCTACAATTTCTTGGTGAAGACGCTCAATTTCACTTTGTTCAGTTTCAATTTTCTGGTGAAGTTCGTCACCTAAAAAAATAAAAATAAGACACCTTAAAAAATGTTATTCCTATGGAAATTTTAAGACTGCATATGGCTTTCACAAATACAAAATAAAACAAATTTCTGAAAATAATTTTGAATCAGCAAACATACTTAAATTTTCAAATTTACATGATTATTTCTTAGTTGTTTATTGCTATATTTAAATGAATATATAATTATAGAATTGTACATTGACTTACAATAATTTTTTTAATATTTTTTCAATTTTATCCATTTTCAATTTATATTCTCTGAAATAACATTTTCCAGTGTTTTTTTTTTTTTTTTAATTCAAATACTTTCAATTGTTTCGGAAAACCTAACAAAAGGTTTTATATGTTGACAGGAAAATCCACAAGTACACCAAATTGAGATATTGCAATAATCTTGAGAGTATATTCTCCAAGTTTACTTTTGGTATTTCTGTTTGTTATCAAACACTGACATAGGATTGTATTTCCTATTAGACATTTTTTTTTTTAAACTAAAAACTTACTTATTGCTAACAACTCTTCTTCTTCAAGTTTGAGTGCTTCTTCTTCTTCCAGTAATTGGAGCAGTTCCTCATCAAACATGAAATCAGTTTCTGTAAAGAAAAATTCATCTTAAGTTTAAACATAAAAAAGAGCAATTTACACTTAGAAAGAAATTAAGTGGATGTTTCTAGATTTTTAATTGTCAGTTTGACAAAATATATGAGAGAGAGAAAACAATAAAAGAACAGGAATTTAGAAGACAAGATAACAACATTGCATTTAGATTTTTGAAAATCAAAGTTGACTGGAAAGCAAGAAGCCAGTGAGAAGTGTGAGAGAAGAAACTGTACCAAAGAACTTAGTTACATCTAGGCATTTCGATTGTAAAGTGATGAGACCTTGCCACCAGTCTAATAGTACACTTAAATTCATGAAGTCTAGGTACCAAAGTGGAAATCTCATCAGAACAATTACCATGAAAATATTTATAAAATGGCACAGGGAAATAATGATATGCCAGCAGGAAAGTAACTGAAGCCGAGATGTTACGTCAGAATCAATAACATTGCAGATTTTTTCTATTTTATCAAGAATCTCTAAATACATATCAGAAGCATCACATCAGATGTGGCAGTAATATTCAATGCATGGATGAATATAACTTAGTCTTATAAATGTGTAAGATAGATTCTGGTTAGAAAAATTGTCTAGCATGCCATTGAATCAAATTTGCTAGCAGCAGACCTAGTAATTGATTCAATATAATCTTTCCACTTCATATTAGCAAAAAATGTTAGCTCCTGGAGGTTAGTATGAGCTATGATGGAAGGTGAAAAAAAAAAAAAGGTTCTCTTTGATGATTAAAAGAGTGCAATTTCATTATGGAGATGATAAAATTAACAAGATACTTCTTTCCCCAGTTAACAACAGATTGTAGATCATTTTTGAGATCAGCTGCCAATTTGAAACAGGAGCAAATAGTTGAGAACAGATGGCATCAGGATAGAGCCCTGAGTGACACCTGCATTAATGCAAAAAATCATATCAATAGAAAAGCAACCAGGATGACCGCTGGACAGGTGACAGGTATGTCACTTTTTAGTATTCCCCTGAATTTTTCATTTTGTTGTTGCATTTTGCAAGAAAATGTTTTTCTCTTCTTTTTGCCGAGTTCTTCCAACCTACTTCAATTAGGGAAATGTATGAGCATGGGTCCAAGGGACCCCCTGGTTAGGGTGGACTGAGTTGAGAAGGCTACTGTTAACCAAATATGTGGATGAGGAGAAAGTGGTGGCGTCAATGAGAGGCCTCATGAAGCTGGCCCAGACGAAGGGTGAATCTCCCGGAAAATTGGAAGTGAGGGTCAAGGTTGTTCTGGCATTTCTGGAAGAATTTATGGAAAATGCTGCCATACAGGCCCAGTTGGCCAACATATGTGGAAGTCCTCATCAATGAGTGCATTAGGCACAACATGATCAAGGAAGCCTTGGTTAAGCTGTCGGTGGCTATCACCTTAGCAAAGGATAACCAGAGAATTTGGGAAAAAGCAAAAGGAAAGTGGACACAGGCACAGTGTCGGGAGGTAGGCAGACAGGGCGGGGATAGGATCCCCTCACACACAGGTGGCAGAAAGGTGAAGCAGGAGGAGGTCAAACTGGAGGAATGGGAAGAGGTTCCCAATAGAAGGATGTGGACGTTGGGGCATGAATTTTATAAGCCCACACCTGGCAGGTTGGGGCTAGTATGCTGGACGAGGGCTGCCCAACAAAGTAGGGATTACAACAAGCCAAGATGCACCAGGTGTGGCCGTCATGGCAAAGTGGTGTGGAATAAAGAAAGAACCACCAGAATTCCCCATTACAAGAACCCCCGCCTGGAAAATAGAACCAGGGGAACATCAAAGGGGTGCCCCAGCACGTTAAGTAAGAGCAAGGGTGGCAAAGGTAAATAAAAGAGTGATGCAATGTTTGGCATGTAACCGGGTCAGCCATTTTGCCGCCAACTGCCCTGGAAGAAGGTGTTGAGTCTGTAATGAACCAGGGAACCTGAAGAGAAATTGCCACTACAGGAGAAGGAACAATGTCAAGTACGTGGCCAGGACAGCCATTTTGTTGTCCCCTATAGAAATAGGAACCCATGTCTAAATGCGTAAGCAGACATTGCCCTAGAGGGAGGGTAGCCAGGGTGTTTTCCTTGTATGAACTTTCCTGTGAGGCGGTGGTAAATGGAAAGCCAATGAGGGGCGTCAGTGTCCTTAATAGGAGAGGATCAGTACAAAAGCCTGATGTTGCTGGGTTGATTGAGACCCAATATAGAAATTGATCAGATAGACAAGAAACCAATGAAGATAACAGGAATGGTAAGGCTCCTGGTGAATGTAGGAGGAACAAATAGTGTCCACAAATTCTGTGGTCCCAGATTTCTGTGGTGAGATGCCCCTGGGTGGAGATTAGTTGCACCAACATAATGTACAAGTGGAATTCAACTCCACAGTGTTGACTGTCAATGGCATGGAGATGCCATTAGGGAGTGCCCGATAGGTCAGCATCAGTAGTGGTTGACGATGACAAAAGTTACCCCCAGAGACAACTGTATCAGGAGTGGGAGAAGGAGTTTTTCAACTAACCCCAGTGGAGAACCCCTGAAAAAGATGAAATAGCCTTGTGTGAGACTGTGGTGAACATGGCAGAAGTAGTACCTATTATGTTGGCTAATCAGGCCAACAAGATAATAAAGATAAAGAAAGAAGAGGTAGGAAAGGCTCTATCATTAAGGTCCATACAATGGGTAAAATTCAATGAAAAAAGTAGAAAACAGAGTCAAGTAGAAGAAAGAAGTGATAGCCTGTGAGGAAATCCTTTGTAGTCGTAATTGCTAGAGGCAAGTGAGGCTTAGGTATAGATTGTCAGTTGATTAGTGGATAAATTTGAACTTAATATCGCTGGTGAGATCGATTTTAGATGTGGACCACCCTGTTGCTGGGTGTGGAGATTACATGGTGTTAGCCTGTAATGTCGCAATGATGTGAGGTGTTTTTGAAACCCAAGAAATATCAGTTTTGATATTGTGGATTTAAAATGAGGAATATTTTAGTAATAACTGCTTACTACTAATGAAGTTGATGTTTTGCTCTGATGAATGAGCCATGAAATGTAAAGTGACCAAGCATCACAGAAATGATTACAGTGCACATTGAAGGGAAGATTGTCTGGAGCCATATTGATAGTTAACAGTTGCTAAGTGAAACTTAAAAGTAAAGGGGGAATAAGACTGTGAACAACGGGATAGATGGATTTGATGTTCATGCGCAATGACATCAGGCCCATTGAAAGGCCAACTCAGTAACTAGCAGTAGAGGTTGGTTGGAAAGGATAGAGGTGTGGGTAGTGTGTCACAGAGAGTAGAATTATTTGTTGGTGCTATCACTGGTCTGCACAAGGGCCTGTTTATGTCCAGCAGTAGTATCGATGAGACCTGAACTTTGGACAAATATGCCCTATGCCTGTCTGGAACCAATCAATCTACTAAGAGAGTTGGTTAAAATACGGATAGGTCGCAGTAAGAAAACGAGGAAAAAAAAGAGTAGTGAGAATGCTACTGAATAGTTAAAACAGAGTATATATAGCATTGAATTTAGCTAGGACGAAATTTATGATGCTGACAGCAGAAGAAGTGGGCAAGTGTCAAATTGATGATTTAGGAATGTGTACCTCATTAAGTCCCAATGAGGTGACCACAGATTGTGTGCTGGAGTTGTTTAAAGGAGCTAGGGATAGAGTTAAAAAAAGCTGTCAAGTAGGGATTAACAAATACAGTGTTGCCACAGGTTATCAGAATATCTGATGGAATCTGGACTGTTGCTACCTAAAGCAAATTGATCTGTCTAGGGTGTGTAGGGGAGAACCCACTAGAACTTTAAGGGTAGGACCCCCATTGTCCCTAATTGAGCTGCCGCTGGGATGTTCAGTGTTTGGAACATCTATCTCCCTCCCACCATATTATCAGGCTGAGGAGAAGTATGAAGAAAGGGATTTGATTGCAGAGATGGTCAAAAAGAGTTTAAGTAACTGGACAAAATTATGGGAACCAGTGCTAGATAAATTCCCTGGGGCAGCTATAAAAAATATGCTGACATTGTTAAAACCCGTAGAGGTTAGCTTGGAACAATTAAAAAGATGCCTAATCGATGTGGAAGGGGAGAATATGACCTGGAGAGAAAATAGAGGAACTATAATAAGCTGGTCATTAGTGGTCAGCATCCTGACAGTTATTTTGGCTGTAATATGGAATTGGGGGTGGGGCATAGGAAGAGCTCAATTGATGGAGTTTTGGCAGATGCACAACAGCTTGAGAGGGGAATGCTGAACAGGAGATGCTGCACCACCCATCCAGCAGAAGAGAAAAATCGAGTTCAGCTGAAGGAAGGAAGAATTGAAAGCCAGCTCCGGATATACTGATGAATTGTAAGACAAAGTCTTCTTTTGATCTGAAGGACAATTATAATCTTTGTTTTTATAATTTGTTCCCAAGTAAACAAGAATATATCAATAAATATTTTTTCTTAAAATACTGGAAACTTTTGCATCAATATAATACATACATCATCAACTATCTTGAAGTCAGTCAGAAGTTCTAAAATGCAAAACCTACCATTAATAATATCATTGATGTTTGCTGGTAATACAACAGAAGTTTCTGTAGGCACATAGACCTCAACATCAGCTTGAAAATCAGGCCTTTCTTTTTCTGTTGAAGGAGCTAAAGGTTCTAATACTGTATTTGCGTTGGTGGTTATATTGTTATGTATATGCACTTGAACGGATGTAAGAGTTTGGGTATTGTCGTTTCCATCAGTTCCTACTTCTAGTTTGTATTTATTACTGTTGATATTATCACCAGCACTAGCTTCAACTTCCACATTTCCTTGAGCAGGTTGCTCCAATGTAACACAGGGGACTGCAAAAAAGTAAAAAATCAGACATAAAAGCAATCTTACCAAAATTACAAAATTAATCAAGAATAACAACTCAACTTGTATTAAATGCAGTACAAAACCATACAGTCACTTGGATATCTTAAAAATCCCTGAGAATTAAGGGAAATTGATTGTTCATAATTTTACACAAATTTTGTGATAACAAAATTAAATTTAATTTTTCAATTCCTCCAAAATTATAACCAATGAAACTTTTCTGATATTAAAATCAAAAACAAATTATAAAAAATATTTTTAGTAATTTTCTTTTTTTCTCCAAGTCACTACTTTAATAATTAACAATACATTTTAATAATGAAAAGGATATTTTCAGTTTTTGTACAGATTGTATATCATATACATTGATATGCCAAAAGTCATGTAATAGGTGCCTGGTATCATGTAGGACCCCACTAAAGCGCAGGAACTTCATATGGTATCAATTGCCCAAGTGGAGAGATGTTGAACCATGCTGTCTCAATAACTGTCCACAGTTCCCTGATATTTGTAGACATACAGATCTTGTATATGAATAGACCTCTCCACCATGCTTAACTGGGCTCATGTTAGTTGAATGTGGTGGCCACAACATTTGTCAAAATTCTCTCGAATTTTAGGAAACTTAGGCCCAATGACATATTGCATTATGCTGTTGGAATTAGGTATTCCATTAGGTATTCCAAAGTACACAGATATGACCATAGGATGTGGAATGTCAAATTTTCCCACAATTTCAGAAATGGAATATCCCATCAATCATCACTATCATGCCCTGTTTGATCTCTTATAATTCACATCACCTTGCCATGAGTAGATTAGCCTGAACTTATAAACAGGTTATATAGACATTTCCATGATAAAAAGGTGGTACGTACCATTACATACTACATGACATCGGGTATATAATAATCCATTATTAATATTATCTCAAAACTGCCCTAGTTTATCCTGAAAAAAATATGTCAAAATATTGAAATTTCCTTTTATTTCAACTCCAGTACATCTTTTATTTCTGAAGTTATTTTGATAAAATTAGTATGCAAACAAAATTTAATCCTTCCTCTCTCTAAAGATAAAATTCTTTCATGTGTGTGATGAGTAGTTTTTATTCTACCTCTCTATAAATTATATCACTATTTCAATGATTGGGCATGTCTTTTTCTGCATTTTCAAAGCTGAAAATTTCATAGTAATGTTTTTCAAATTTATTGCACTCAGAGTTGGGTCTCCCTACACATATCAAAATTGTCTGATATTGAAAAAAAAAAAAAAAAAAAAAAAAAAAGAATGACAGGCATCAATTTAATGGTTTGAAGATAAGGTTTGATGCTGTTGTTCATCAAAAATTTCTAATTTGAAAACTTTAATAGACGCAATACCAGAAAAATTCAACTCTTAAAAAAATTAAAACTGTAGAGCAATATCTCATCTTTAATAATCAGTTAGTTTCATATCTCTGTGCCCATACAACTCAAGGTGCATGCAAATCAAAAAGAGGGTATACATCGTCCATTTTGTGCAATACTGTTGGGTCTGACACATCAAAATTTGTATTGTTGACCAAATGAATGAACATCATCAGCTGAACCCCATTTTAAATCCGACTTGTTTCATCGATATATTATACAGTTTAAATCTTTTTCTTATATTTCCTTTAATAATGCATTTTAAAACTATAAAGTACTCATTGAGTTTTGTCAAAAATGTTATTCTTGAATCACTTTTGCCTCAGCTGTTGTTTTATATATTTTCTTTAAAAAAAATATGAAACAGAATTCATATTATAAAATGGAAAAATAAATATATAAACTGGATATATTTTCAGTTCTTAGAATTTTTCTCACATTTGTTTATAAAAAATGAAAATAATTTATTTTAAAAAGTATCCAGTTTTCCTTTTAATGGTCCATTTAGATTTGTGGCTGACAATATTTTCTGTTAATTCTGAGGATTTGGGAATTAAATTAAAAATTTATGTACATTTTCTTTTAAAAAATAAAACTGGATACATTTTATAAAAAATAAAATTAAAACAAAAATTATTGGATATATGTTTTAGCTTATTTTGGCACATGGGTCCATAAAAAATTGAAATGTAATGAGGTAATTTTTTTAATGATTATTTGTTTACTAATCCAGAGGTTAAAATGAAACTGATACATTTTATACTTCTTCAACGTTTGCACACATTGTCTTTTTGTAATTTTTTCTTTAAGCTTTCATGGTAGATAATAAGCATAACTTAAATTTACATTTAATCTTCTGTTCAATGGATGATGAACTCCACATCCTGAGAAGTAGTTTTCTTCTAAGTGGGAGAGGTAGGCTGAAGAAGACCCCAAATTCCTTGCAATGTATGCTGATAAAGTTTAAAACTGTGTAATGAAGGAAATAGACATTTCATTGATATAACTTTTGATGAGAATTCATCTCCATAACTAAAGGATCAAAGGAAGGAAGAAAAGGCACTCAGACAATCTGAGTATTCAACAACTCTGGCATTAGTGATGAAGAACAACCACTTCAAGGATTTTCAGTTATGAACATCAAAGCCAATGGGTTGCAATATACTAATTACTCCAATTTTTACATTGACCAATTACATCTCCATTTAGTGCTGTAATCAAAAGCTTAATTCCATCCAAAGCCAGAAATGCTTATTTTTTATGGCTTTGGATTGATATTTCACATTTGTCTTTAGATATACTCCTTTCAAGAGATATGGAGTGTTTCAGGAATATTGGCTATAGCAGAGGCTTATAAATAAATTTAGACTGCAAATCACCATTAGAAGAAATGTAAGTAGATCATTCCAACTGCCCATAAAGTCCTTTTCATCGGTTCCAATAATTTTTATTCATTTCAGTTTTTTGTAGATAAATGAGTTTAAAGCTTTACAATAAGCATTTGTTTGAAGGATTGACTGATGATTCATTTCATGAAACAAATTTCTAAGTTTTGTATTTTAGTAAAATTTCCAATTTTCAGGCATGTACCATGAATGGAAGCTTCTTTATGGCAAGTTCAGTATAGTATACTTTTGACCTGTTTTTGCCCTACTGCCAAATTACACTTGTGGCTGCTTTTACATGGTGAAGTATGAGTTTTTCTTATTGATAAACTACAGAAAATAAATTTAGCTTCATCTCTGTTGTGCTAAGAATTATAGCAAAGTTGCAGGGCATTATCAGTTGAAATGAAACTTGTATGAACTTGTATTGCTCTTTTGTGTTATTTTTTTTTTTAACTATTTTGTTTTTGAGAACATAATTTTTCTCATTGTTTAAGATGGTTGCATCTAATAATTATTGATTCCATTAGTATTATATTTCTTTTACTTCAAAACTACCTATATGACAATACATTTATGATTTTCCACTTGTTTGAAACTTGCATCTTCTGTTATACACTGACAAAATTGGCTTCTGGCCCAATAGTACACAAGATGGAAATTTTCTAACCAATTTTAAATGACAACTTGGTTGCTCATTGAGCTACCAATATAAATTTGGTACCATTTTTAGGTTTTATCAAGCTAAGCTTTCTATGTTTTAAGTTTGTAAATAAATTTTTAAAAAAATTTAGTTTTGGACACCTAATAATATTGTCCACAAACATATTTCAAGGTCAGTTCACATACCAGACACAGCAGGCACAATAACTTGCTTTGTTGTCTGTTGCTGAGAATCTATCACAGAAGTTGAAGTAAGCATAGCAACAGCAACATCTTCATTTGTTGCTTTATCCAAGTAATTTGTTGCAGGATCTGCTTCAGTTGGTTGGATTACATTATCTATTTCTTGGGTCTCCGGTATCTCTGTAGCTCCACTGGGATGACTGGGGATTTCTTGCAAATCTAATTTTAATTCTTCATCTTCTTCATGAACAGAAGCAACACGCTTTTGTTGTTCAATTTCTTTTTTTCTTTTCTCAGCAGCTTCCATTGCTTTCCGAGCAAATTTAATCTAAAAAAATTAAGGCATGAAAAATATACATTTATCCCCCAACAAATTTTTATTATGAAAAATTTTTTTAAAAAATAAGAAAAAGGCCTTAGAAATATTATAAAAATGAAATTTAAGTTGATGGAATATAAATAAAACTATTACTTTTGTTTTTATTTGGGAATATTTACTTTTAATGGAAGACTTTTTTTCTCTTTTATATCAAGAAGCTGTATTATGTATTTTGAGTTGAAATTAAAAATACAAAATCAGCTGAATAATTCTATCCATTTTCCTGACCAAATATCAGTAATTTAATAATTTTTATAGCTGACAATGGTAAACATTTGCAAGAAGAAATAAAATCAATTACTTTTTTCTTTGGCAGCAATTTATTTTTAATTCAAAATGAATAATTACAATGTCTGTATTCTTTAACATTGTAAAAAAATATTTTTAGTAAATTCCAAATTGAATTTTCTAACATCCAAAAGAAAAAAACTATAAAATTTACCATCAGATATTTTTAAATATCTGTTATTTAAAAAGACTTTTTTTTTAAAAAAACAGCAAATAGAAAACTTGTAAGTACATTACATTCATTTATTAATATGTTTTAATAATTTATTGAATAATTTAATCCAAGATTTCACAGAAAAATGAATGACTGAAAATAATTAAAGATTTATAATGGATGCAAATAAAATGCTTTCCAATTTCGAGCCATCATCCATTAAACCTCCTGTACACCCAAGCTTGGAGCACCTGAAATTCTCAAGCAGTCACTCATCTAGATACTGACCAGCCTACACATTGCTTAATTTTGGTGATTGTATGAGAACCAATGTTTCAACATGATATGTATTTTTATAAACTTTGTATTTTAGTGTGTTATTTTGTACGAAAATATTTATAAAAAACAAAACAAAAATAATATAGTCTGATTTTGTATAAGTATATATGCTGTATCTCATCCAATTCCTCGGTTTAGTGTGTATTGGACAGGATACAAAGCTATAAATAAGAAATCAGTTTTAAAGCTTAATAAAGTTCTATTTCAGTTGCTATGTTATGACAAAAAGGTGTGAGTCAAGAAAATAACTTGTTTAATTAACACCAGACTCTTACTGATTAGAGATAATTCCCCAAATTCTTGTCTCAATTCTAAGAATTTGGTTCACTCAGCTATGACCAATGTTTTCTTTGGTTGAATATTTCTCAATATTATTTCTTTGACTTCCTTAAATGTCAAGTTTTCAATTTCAGCTGACTAAGTTATTAACAAAATCTGCCTAATAGCTTCACATCCCACAGTGGGCAAAAATAGATCCGTGATTTCTTTCTGTCCTTCAGGTGTTTGGGCATCTTGTAACTTCTTTATTCTGCCTCAAAACATTTTATCCAAATCTTTCTTTTCAGGTTCTTCTGTGTTCAACCAAGCTCCATCAAGCGACACCATTTTGTTATGATGATCAAACTTAATATCTATAGATATTCTACGTACACTGACTCAAAGTTGCCTGTCAGCTATAGTTATAGCTGTCTTTATGCTAATTACCTATTAGCTAAAGCAATCCCATTACAATTTGCAAATAACTATAATATAAATTTTATAAATAGAAGTGAGTTAATATCAAGCCTAATGGCTAATTTTGGCAACCTTTAAGTATCTCTAAAGGCAGCTTTTAATATTTCCTTCTCTGCTCTAACTTCCTTAAACTGTAGATATAATTTTCACTCAATTCTGTAGAAATTGTAATTTATTTTCCCAAAATTTAAAGAATATATCAACCTCAATGATCAATGGACAGCAGACATTGTAATTAAAGGATGAGTTTTGTATAATTTCTTCAAATGAAAAATTGAATATTAAGACATACAAAATAAATCCATTTTCATATCTACCGTACAAATTTTAAATAAAGCTTGCCTTTCAATATATATATATATATATATATATATATATATATATATATATATATATATTTATTCTTTTATTTAAATTTTATCTTTTTGTAATGGAAGTGAATCAATAAATTAAAAAAAACTTTCATCTTAAATAAAATTTAACTGACCTTTCTCTTGAGTTGAGTAACAACACGCTGTACTTCCCAGAGTTGTTCATTTTTGGACGTATCTTCCACACCAGCATTAAGTTCCTCATGTAATTGGTCAAGCAGAGATTCTTGCTTAGCTAATTCTTCTTCAAGAGCACAAAGATTATCAGGAAGTTCTAAAGACCAACGAGATGTTGCTGGCTTCAAAGGTGGTATGTATCTAAAACAAAAATAATTTTTTAGGTTGGCTTGCAAAGAAAACAAAATAAATGTAATAGTCTTTTTAATTTCTTTGATGAAACAGTATCATTATTCATTTTTGATTTCTGTTGCTTTTTATCACAACTCACAATGGCTTTCATTGTTGAAGAGATTTAACAAAATTACTTTTAGTTTCCATCTGCTGATTTAAATGTTAAAAGTCACAAAGTAGGCAAAGATGATTCACATTAAATAAATTTACAAACTTAAAAAAAAATACATTAAATCAAATCCAACTCATGAATAAATGAGTTTTAAATCCCTGGAAAGTTGAAAACAATAGATTATTACTTTACATGAATTCTAAAATATTTATTCTGAAAAAAGAAAATATTTTTCACTCTTCCCAAAATATGAAAGACAGAATAATTGACATATATTTCAGTACAGAAAAGTCTTATCTTTCCATTGCATAAAATAATTTATTTGTGACTTACTTCTTAATGCAGGTGTCATTAAAAAGTGCCTTCACATGGGAGAATAGAACATTCAGCACACGATGACTGATTTGCATTGTAGGACTTAATACAATGGATACATTTTGCAAACTCATTTTATTTTCTTTTTGCTGCAAGATGAAAAAATGGGTCATATTAATTTCATTTTTATTATTCCATTAGAGATTTTAAAAATTAGATGACAACAAGTAGGCAAAATTATTTTACTGCAATATGTAAGTCTCAAAGAAAATTCAAATAGTAAACCCATCAATAAACAAAATGCAGCCACTCCATGGAAAAAAGAAAGAAAAAGAAGTTAAATAAAATGAACGCTCAAATTATTTTGAATAAAATATAACATTAACCATGCATAGGTTACTAATTCAAGATTAAGATTTCTGAGTTGAATCATGTTAAAAAATAAATTATACACTTATGAACACTTTTTATCCAATTATCAATACAACACATAGAGGTTTCATTAATGTAGTGTGTGATTGCTTATGCAATCAATAAAACTGAACTGGCAGTTATATAAAGAGCCAACATTATATTAAAATTATGATACATTATTTTACATAGATGCTAATATTAGCCTCAACAATGCCATAATTTATGATTAAAAAGACCAATCAAATTAAAAAAGCATCAGAGTAGAAATTAAAATTATTTTCAAACATATGAAAAGTTATTTCACCAACTTAAGTGATGCTAATATTTTTTGTGCAGTTATAATATACTAGATAAACTTTAATAGCTTATGTAACACATGAAACAATATTTTTACAGTAAATTCAAATTTAGTATTTTATTTTATATTTTGTTAGACACATGTAATGATAAAAATAAACCTTACACATGATACATCATGTGTAAATAAGGTTTATAATGATAAATCTTCAATCTCAGAAATTCAGACAGAAAAAGAAATCTTTTGAGAAAGAAATCTTAAAAATGTGCAACTATAAAGGTTTATTTATTGCTTTCAGTTGAAAAAAAATTAAATTTTATTCTGAATTTTCATAGCAGACTCAGACTATGGCAGGATATTGATTTGTTAGTTGTATTTGATAACACTTCCAAAAGTTTCTACAGATCTCCCTACCCTTGGGAAATTCTGTTCACCAAAGTGAAAGAGAAAACTCTGGTCTGAAACAATTTGTTTCTGGAGTTTGATAGAAAAGTTGGAGATTGTAGGAGAGAATCAACTATTTGTACAAACAAAGATACTGGCAACAAAGGTTGGAACTAATCTTTACAGTAGTGATAAGGCAGAGGGATGATTTGTTTTTCAGTAACAAGAAAAAGAAAAAAGAGGATAGCAGAGCAATACACTAAAGTCTGGGTCATCAATAACTCTACCTGAGGAATGGTTTTAGTTAACTCTTCTCAAGGTCGTTGTGCAATTGTGATACTGGATTGAAAGGAACTGGATTGAAAGAGCCCACAAAAATGCCAAATCAGAAGGACAATTTGTAAGAAGTGCTTGCAAATATGTTTCCTGGTTATATCCAGAAAATGTATGAAGCCTTGGAATTGCTATTCTCTGAACTCCTAGGTGGCTGTTTAACAGAATGTTGTATCCAAAAGACTCTCCTCCCATTGTATGGGGTCAGTGACAAACCAGGATCTGCAAGAACTCCAACAGGCATTGGCTGTGAGTGACAGCACATTAGAACAGGTTCAAAAAGTCTAAACCTCAAAAAAGAAAAATTGTTCAAATTTGATTGGTAGTCCAAGCATTTACTAGACTTAATTATGAAAGAATGATACTTGAGAGAGAGAGAGTGTGTGCGTGTGTGTGAGAGAGAGAGAGAGAGAGAGAGAGAGATAAGGACTTCATTAAGAAGATCACATTTGTTTTTGTGGAAGATCAAGATTAAGGATCAAAAAGTATTCATTCATCTGTTCATTCTTTGATTCCAGAGTTCCAAGATTGAAAAAAATTCCAGATGTCCTAAGGCATTGAAAAAATGATTAATTAGCTCCATTTTCAATATTTGCAAATTCACATGGACTGGTTTTTTGGATGTAATTTCTGATATTCTTATATGCATTCAGAATTACTTCTCCTGGTCAGCAAAGCCTTTTCAAATTTCAACAGAACTTCAAAATTAACAGCTTGTAAAATCCCAAGCTAGCAGCAGCAATTAATAATTTCTAAAATACTACATGATATAAAGTACAATAGCACCCACTGGTGGCACATATTAACCCTAACCCACCTACCCTCCAACAATAGTAATCATGGGTCAGACAGGTATCTTCCAAAAGGCAAAGACAAAAACAGAGAAAGAAGGGAAAGAAACTGTACAAAACTTTCAAATCTTCCTACCCTTTTGATAATGTGTGTCATATGAACTATCATCCAAGAAAGCAGCAAGCGATTACAGGTTGGTAACATGTCAATCAAAGCTTGAAACTGTTCAATGCATTTTGCATCATTCTTAATAACTGAAATCAGAAAGAAATCAAAATGAATAGAGGAAGAAACAAATATCAACATAGAAAAGGTTTTCATGAAAAAAATTTAAATATAAAATAATATTTTCAATACTTTTTATAAACAGAATAATTTTCTTGAACTTTTGTCAAACAATATTTAATTAATAGTAACACTACACACTCATCAAATCAAAAATGCAGAATATAAAAAAGTTTTAAAAAAAAATCAATTTTGTATCATTAATCATCCTATTTTTAAGGAAGTAAAAATTATTCACAGAGAAATACAAAATCAAATTATTACGTACAAGGTTTACATACATTTGGTTTAAGCATCCTCATTTTTGTTGTTTCAATTATTATTTTTAGCTGATATGTTCCTCAACATTCTTCAATGTATGCTACATCTGGTAATCTTCAAGAAACTTTGAATAGAATCCATTATCATGCCCATATTCTTCCTTTATATTTACCACCATTCCCATCAGAATAATTCAAAACAAAAGAATCCTGTACTAAACTTATCAGTAGAAAAAGAAAAAAAGATTCTGCTTAAAGTTCTGTAGAGGTTACCATTGCAATGATGAGAACCAGAGAACAAACATTCCAAACTAGTCATCAAAACAACGAAGATGAGGATATTAATGTGAATGAAACACGTGATAAACAAAACTCTGTAGAAATGTAACTTACTTGAAGCTTCTTCAAATTTGGGCATGAGAGCTGTAGTTAAAACTGGTTCTGGTAATTCTCGAAGAAACTGTTTCAATAAACTGGCAACTACATTTGGTTCATGTTCATATAAATAAGCAGGAACTCCATCATTGTAGGCTTCCTTCAACATCTGTACTTTTGATTTCACTCCAGATATTCGATAGATACCTTCACACTGCAAACCTGCACAATTGATTTTAAATCATTTTATAAAGGATTTAAAAATTTGACAAAATTTTAAATACAAAAAAATCAAGAGGTAGTTAATAGAATAAATATAAAAATTCTAGGAAAGCACTAAACTAACTTGTATTTATTTTTAAAATGTATTTCCTCTGATATTAATAATGTCAGTTATTCCTTCTGAGTATAACTTTTTAAAATAAATTAATATTATAGATTCTAAAATAAAAAATTCTTATCTGATATACATTTTATACTATCTCAACTATCAGTGCCCCACACACCCTGAGGTAATTGCATTTATATTTAGAAACCTATTCTCTACCACTAAGCAGAAATCTTTACTTAAAAAACAAAATTAGGATTGTGCCTAATTTTTATTATTATTAACTAAGTTTCCCAAATTTCCATAAAGCAATCAATTTTGTTCAGTAAATTAACTTGTATATAAAGTGTATATTTTTTTATTAATGATTAAGAAGAAATTTGCTGAATAAATCCATTATGAAAAATTATATTAATAAAAATATAAACACTGAAAAAAAAACTTACATAACATAATACAAATAATCTAATCTGAATGTAAAATATTTTTTAAAATAATAAAAAAAAAAAATCATTAAATTTTTTAATAACATTTTTTTTAAAAAACTCAATGTTCTTCATAAAGAAAACATTATTTCTTCTCAAAATAACATTAATGGTAGATAACCTGAACTGAAAACATATAATTCCAATCCCTAATATTGTTTCATACATCACTTTCAAATAATATCACCCATTACAGTTTGAGCAAAAACAGATTTTAGGAAATTTAAATAAACATTGTGTTACGTGCAAAATCATGTTTGATTAACCCTCAAGTACCTTGGGTTATTTTAACACCCCACAAAATGTTTTTCTTAATATGTGCAAGTGGTAAGTCAAAATTTTCATGATTAGTCAAGTAGCTTTCTGTCAATGGCTACAAAGATTTTCTGATTTTAGTCATAATGTAACAGGGCAGTGGTTCTGAGAGTCATAATAATATATGTCATTTAGTGACATTTGATTTCTTAACAGCAAGGTCTTTGTGGGAAGATAACATCTATCAATGTCATTCTCCCAGACAAATATCTACAACCTATAGTTGTTTAGTTAGTTTGTACCCAAGAGATGTTCATTGTATCCAGAGAGAAAACTGTCTTTCTATATCTTTCCTCAAGTTGAAAGAATATCCAACAGACACAAATTGTCAGCTTTCTCAAGACCTCAAGATCTTAGTAGAAAATCAACCAAGAGTGATTGTAAACTTTGACAGCATTTTGGCAGTTTTTACACTGGCATTTATTCTATCTAAAATCTTTTTGCCTTAAAGTTTCCAGTCAAGAAATCCATGGCCCACAAAAATTCACAGAATTCTACAATGATCCCATCCTGGCACAATGTTAAACCACTAGATGATTGCAACCAGAGACCAGCAATGAGTGAAAATACTGAACAAATGAAAACACATTATGCCCCACTTAGTATTTGGTGCCAGTAACTATAAGTGTTGATAATAGGCATTGTAACCAATTGTAGCTGTACAATAATATTCATGTGAATTATAAGAACATGACTGCTGTGGTAGAAATGTATGTATATGTAACCTGTTAAATTTGTATACATAATAATAGTAACAGTAATAATAGTAGACAGGTTTGCCTATTGCCTGGCCAATACTGCTTTCTTGTCTATTGAATTGGAGTAGGATTTATCTTTTGTTTCCTGTTTAGGACATAGTTTTCTGGTTCCTTTCTTCCATGGTCTTGAGTTTTTGGTGACCTGATTGATCAGTGTCTGCAACTTTTGATTTTGAGGGAACTGGGCTGAAGTTTTCTGGATTGCTGCATGCTAACTGGTAGCAAAGAGCCCAAACTTTTTGGCAGCACTTAGGGAGGCTGCTCTGATCAACAGTCACATAATATTGAGGTATTTGCAGTGAATGGATGAACATCACTTCTGCTTTCTGGATCAAACCAAACACAACATGGGCAGGAAGCAGAATTAAACCGGTGGACCAGTTGAATAATCTATGAATGCTCAGGGGACCTACAGCCACTCCCTTAAGTTCAGTTAAGACCAAGTAGACACCTCAACCTAGAGAGTAAGACGTTGGAGGCTGATGGGCTGGGGCGAAAGTGTTAGACTGGTGCTGTGTTTACCAGGATAGACCCATGGGAATTACCACGGCCTTCTGAAAGAAGAGAGAAGGTTGCATTTGTTTTCTCCAGTTGGGACCAAGTAAGACTAGAAAGGACTCTAGTCTTCGGACTATATTGGTCTAAAAGAGACATAAGGAGGAAAAGAGAAGGAAGCAAAAGAAGGAGGAAAAAGAAACAAAACACGGTTTCCTTTGTTTGCTCATTGCACTTAGATCTGCCAGTAATATTGTTGATCTTGTTTCGACTTTGTTGACTTTGTACGCAACTGAAGCGCCACCACTGTGTTAAGTATTTTTCCTTTTGTTCTGTCATCGGTCTCTCTTCTCGTGGGAAAGTGGTAGTTGACAAGACGCTAGGATGAGCGTAGCAAGATCAGAAACCACGACCTTGGGGACATGGGAGTTCCTGAAATATCGATGGGTTTCAGGAGGTTGATTGGTAGCATGAAGCTACCTACTTATAAAGGAAACCCTGCGGACATGCACAAATGGATTCTGTCCATTCAGAAGAAGCAGGTGATCTATTGCCTCTCAGACCAAGAAATGGTGCTCCTAGCTTACGACTCCGCAGCAGGGCAGGTGTCCAAGTTCATAGGGGGGTGGTAAAAAGAAAACCTGGCCTTGACATGGACCGAGCTTAAATCCACTCTGGTGCGGCAATATGCAAGTGAGCATATGGCCATTGAGGCAGTCAGGAAATTATTCCGGCTACAGCAACAAGAAGGAGAGACTAATGAGGAATTGGGGGAAAGAATTGCAGGGCTAGCAGCGTTAGCTTTTCCAGAGTTGGCGACTTTGGACAGTGGTCCTATTCAGGCCTTGTTGGCCAATGTGTATGTGGACATGCTGAGTGACAGGGACCTGAGGGGCAATGTTCTGAAGTTGGGACCGGTCAGCCTGGCTGCAGCCATAGAGGTGACTCGGACCAGCAAACGACTCTGGGATAGAATAAGAGGGGGTGTAGGTTTGGAACCCCGTGGGGCCAAAGTAGTGATGAAAAAGAAGGACCGGGAGCATATCCAGATACGGGACCTGAAAGAAGTGGAAGAGGACCGGAAGGCTGAAGCAGTTCCCAATAGGAGAGCCTGGGATCTGCATTATGGGTTTCACAAGCCCACACCGGGCCGATATGGGCTGGTGTGCTGGACTTGCAAGTATGGTGTGCATCGGGCCCGTGACTGTCCGACAAAGTATAGAGGTGCCTGAGGTCTTTGGGACTGAACTGCATGACTTGTGGCAAGTTCGGGCACAAGGCTCAGTGGTGTACAGCAGAGGGAGACCATAAACTGGGGATAAAGTGAGTTAATACGCTAGTGCCCCCTACTGAGAAGGAAAAGAGTCCGGGAAACGCCAATGGGCCACCTGTTAAAAAGTAAGAGGTAGGGTGGCCCCAGTGCAAGTAAGATCTCTGAGATGCTTGGCATATGGTGTGGCCGGGCACTTTTTGGCAAGTTGTAAGGAGCGAAGGTGTTGGCGCCGTGGTGGAGCAGGTCCCCTGAGACGAACCTGTCCTCGCAGGAGTAAGATGGACCACACTGAATGGAACAACCCTAACTCGAATAGAGGGGAGAAATGGGTTGCTAGTCCGAGAAAAGAGGGTCATCTGAGCTCTACCTCACCCTGGAGGGCCCCTAGACAGAAATGGGAGCCCCTAGAAAAAGTTGAACTCCTGTCACCAACTCCCATGTCTCGGTTGTCGAGGAAGCGAGAGAAAGGGAGAGAACATACGGGAAGGAGAAAGGCACAGGTATACTGTTTTCTGAAGGAAGGGCCAGACTTCACTTGTAATGTGTTGCTGGGAGGCAAGAAGGTGAAGGCCCTTGTCGATACTGGAGCTTCAGTGTCACTGGTTAGCTCCAAGGTTTTTAGACAGTTGAGACTGAAAACGAAGCTTAGTCCCATCGATCTACTAATAAGTCAGGCTGATATTAGCAGGATGAGGATAGAGGGTATGACATGGCTACCTTTCCAGTTGGCAAGAACCAGAGGTAAACTTAAGGTTTATGTGGCACCCGACTTGTGTGGTGAGCTAATTTTGGGGAGTGACTGGCTTAGGCAGAATAAGGCACAGATCCGTTTTGACCCCACCACCTTAACATTGGACAGGGTAGGGATACTGTTGGGAGAGGATAATTATGAACAATTGCCGGTGGTGGCCCAGACAGATATAAAGTCTTGTACCAAGTGGTTCCTACTGATAGGTATGATAATAGTGAAGGGGAAATAACTGTGTGTGATTTGTTGGTGAAGAGGTCAGGGACTGTTCCCTTACTGTTAACTAATACTGCCAATAAAACTATGAAAATAAAGCAGGAAGCAGGATTAAACCAGTGGACCAGTCGAATAATCTACGGATGCTCAGGGGACCTACAGCCACTCCCTTAAGTTTGGTTAGAACTGAGTAGACACCTCAACCCAGAGAGTAAGACGGAGGTTGAGAGACTGGGGCGAAAATGTTAGAAGAGGAAAGAGAGGGATTAGAGGAATTAGGAGACAGAGTGGTGAGGTTAGCAGCTCTGGCCTTCTCTGATATGGGTACCCAAAGCAGTGGGCCCATACAGACCTTGTTGGCTGATGTGCTAGTAGACGCCCCCTGGGACCGAGAGATTAGGAGCGATGTCCTGAAGAGGTGGGGGGGGGGGGTACAAGCACCTTGAATGAGGGTCTGGACCTGGCTAAGAACAGCGAACATCTGTGGGAAAGAATAAGGGGGAAACGGAGAGAGACGTTCCCAGGTCCCCAAGGAGGGGGAAGGAAAGATAACCTCCTCATGGAATTGGAAAATTAAGAGAGAATTGGTAAAGCCTGAGGAATGGAAAGAAGATCACAGAAGAAGGGTTTGGTCAACGAGACATGGGTTCTTTAAGCTGACGCCCAGACGATATGGACTAACCTGTTGGACCTGCAGATATGAGGGTCACAGAGCGATAGATTGGCCAATGAAGTGGGGATTGCTTCCAGACTTTGAACAAGATAAGTGTGCTAGGTTCAGAATGAAAGGACACCTAGCTAAGTGTGCATGATCAAGAAGGGTGCCCCACCAATATTATTGAAGAAGGCTGAGCCTGGAAGACAAAATCAGGGAAAATCCAGTGGGTCACCCCAGAAGTAAGAGGAGGACATATTTGGTGGAATTGCCCTCGTGGAAAGGGATCGGATGGTCCCAGAAGAGGACAAAGGGAAAATAGGCGCTCAGCCTATACTCTGCGCAGAATAGACTCAAAATTAGCCATGACTGGGGTAAGGAGTAAGGAACCCTGGCTGCCAGTGCCTAGGTCCAGAGTGACACGGGGGAGAAATAATAGGAAGGAAATGGGAGATGGAAGGAGAGCTCAGATCTGCCAGCAGTTGAAGGAAGGGCCTGATTTCACCTGCAGTGTTTTGTTGGGGAATAGACAAGTGAGGGCTCTCATAGATACCGAGGCTTCAGTCTCATTGATAAACTCCAAGGTGTTAAGGCAGATAGGTTTTAAGGGGAAGTTGAGTCCAGTAGATTTATTGATTAAACAGGCGGACAGTAGCAAAATGAAGATAGAAAATATGATGTGGCTATCCTTTCAGTTGGCAAGGACCACAGGTAGGCTAAAAGTTTATGTGGTGTGGTGAACTGATTTTTTTTTTTGGGGGGGGTGGGTCAAAGAAAATAGGACCTAAATCCGTTTCAACCCAGCAAAATTGATAATAGATGGGATTGGAGTGCTACTAGATGGTGCTGAGGGAAGTGCCCCTACTGTTAGCCAAATGTGATGTAGCGCTAGGCCTGGGACTGCTATGTCCTGCAGAAGAGATTACAGATAAGAGTAATGGATTCAGTAAAGAGGGAGTAAAAGTGATAAAGCAGAATAAAATGACCAGAAATTTCCTAAAATTAAGGCAAGGATGAGCACATTGGTCTCAAGATGTATGCTTTAATACCAACAAAATTAGGATGGAACAGATAAAAGGTAAAATAGACACCAGTAAAAGTGATGAGACCATATAGCAGAATAAACGACAAGGATATAGTAGTGCATAATAGAACACTCCAGGTCTCCCTGGAGTTTTCCCATAGTAGTGGTTGAAAAGAAGGATGGTGGGCATCGGTTTTGTGTAGATTTTCAACAATTAAATGCTGTTACTAAAAATTCAGCAGTACCCCTCCCTTTGATCAATGATATTCTGGCCCTGTTGGGAAAGGCTACCTGCTTCTCTACCTTGGATTTGAGGTTGGTGTATTGGCAAGTGGCTCTTGATAAGAAGGACCAGGAAAAGACAGCTTTTAATTGTCATGTTGGCCATTTGGGTTTCAGGTTATGCTGTTTTTATTCACCCAGCTGATACCTATAGTGTTGAGTGGTATGGAAGATTCCACAATTGCTTAAACGGATGATATAATGGTGTTCTCTAAAACACCTGAAGAACATTTTATACACTTGCAGAGAGTGTTCAACAGGCTAAAGTTCATGGGATGAAACCAAATATCTAGGGTGTCAGTTCAAGAAGGATGAAAACCAAATATCTAGATAATCATTATAGATAAAGAAGGTATAAAACCTGAGTTAGATAAGGTAAGATGTTATAGAGCTGAATCCCAGAACAGTGTCAGAGAAAGACGGGGCTTTATCAGAACCATCAGATGTCAATGAACTTTATAAATTATTTTAGCAGGTTGTATAAGGACGTAATAACACTAACAAAATGAAACATGCCAATCTCAGAGTAGAGAAAATAGGGCTGCCTGGTAATGGAGACAGATATTCTAGAAGGTGAGCATGGATATTTCAGGACCCTATAAAAAGACATCACAAGGGAATTTATAGATAGTGAGTTTCATAGATTGGCTAACAAGTATATTGGTGCAGGTCTACACAGCCTTATAAATAAAGATTGACTAGTGTTGGATATACCTGAAGATATTCCTGAGGTATGGAGGCCCTGAACAGCTAATCACTGACAATGGGGCCGAAAATGTAAATCAGATTATGAGAGAGATCCTGAGTGAATTGAATATTAAACATATTACCACTTCACTGTACCATCCCCAGAGTAATGCTAAGGTTAAGAGATTTCACAAAACTTTAGCTGATGTGTTAGCAAAACTAGCAGCAAGTGATAAGGAGAACTTGGATATATATTTGACCTAAGCCCTAGCAGCATTGTGATTCTCATTAAATGAGACTACCAATTTCCCCCCTTATTACATGATATTTGGCAGGGATGTGGTCCTACCCATTGACAATTTGTTGAAGCCTAGGAGAAAGTATATGGGAGATCACCATAAGATAATCCTAGAACAACAGCATAAGATATTCACACAGGCATGAAGGAGAATTAGGAGGGTGCAGAAAAGACAAAATGAGAGAATAAACAGGAATCAGAAGGACATTAATTTCCAGGTGGGTGACCCTGTAGGTACAGCTGAAAGAGAGAGGGTTAGCGGATCAAGATGGGATCCCCTTTATAGAATAGTAACAAACCATACCTATTGTTGCATAATTTGGGGACCTTTCAGTGAGAGTGAAGCAAGGAAGTCAACAACATAAACTGGTTGTTCCTAGATGATTGGGAATCCTGAATCAGTGGCCAAAGAAGGTCGTTGAGGAAACCACATTGAACTGAGGATTAGAAACCCAAAAGTGGATGAGGAGGATATAAGGTTTAACCCTTTGAGTTATGAGGGAAAGTGATTAGACCATGGCAATCTCAGAGAGAATTATTGAACCAAAATCTGCCCTGTAATGAGAGTGAGAGGAAGCAAGATTGAAGGAAGATGATGAAATATTTCAGCTCAACCTCAGGAGATGGAAGGCTGAGAAAGCATTTATACATAGTAGATGAATTACCTAATAAAGTTACAACTGATGCCATACCAGATAGATGAATCATGTTGGATAAATAAACTCCGGTGAGATATTCCCAAGATATGGTCCCTGAACAGCTGGTCTCCAACATGTGGGCCTGGAAGGGTCCCTAGGTTACAGCATTGATGGTTGGGGACTGGTCTAACTTCTCAGGTGTCACCCTAATCGATAACCATCAGATAGAGAGACTAAAGGAACATTTGAGGGAAGATGAACCCCTATTCTGCCCTATAGAAGATATGGACGGAGGAGACCACTGGGTGGGAGATGCTGATTTTGGCAGCAAAGGCCTCGGGCATGGTGGAAATAATGTGAATTTAAAAAAGACCAGTGTGGTAGACATAACTATATTGGAAGTGGTTAATAACACTAGACTGAAGCCTAGTGTGGGCCAAACCATAAAATGTTAGCTGAATTAAAGATGAAGGTAGCAAATGAAATAGCCAGAACACAGGTAACTAAACATTATTCAGGTGATCTGTGCCATGGCCCAGTGCTGACATGTGCATGGAAAGACAGTGGAAGGATATGAGCCTATATCTAAAAGGGAGTGGATTTGTTACAGACCAGATGGAAACAGGGCAATCGATAACCATAGTGGGAAGGCCTTGAATGTGATGGGGGAGACCATGTCAGAAGACAATATTTTGGCAGGAGGAAATTGGGGAATGTAGAGAGGACCAGCAGGTGTTAATTCAGGTAACTAAGGAAAGTATGTCCATCCTCACCGTTACTAGATTGGAGTTAGCAGAAAATAGAGGTAGTATAAATTGGTTAATCTCCCAAATGCAAGCCATTAGGGAAGAAGTAGCTAATGTAATGAATTACAGAGCTTGGAGGGGTTCTTACAGCAATATTTCCAGCTGTTATCAATAACAAGCAGGGTGTACCAGACCAGTCAATCATTGACTATTCTGCTAGAACATGTGAGGACACAATTAGACATGTTATCAATGGGACACTTGTCCCCGAGTAAGATAGCCCCGGGTTGATTGAAAGAAGTATTATTGGAAATACAGACCAAACTGCCCATCACCTTAGATTGCCTGTAGACCCTACTGA